TAATTAAATAAAATACAATTTAAATGAAGTGAATAAAACTTAATTTTAATTATTAGTGTCTATAACACAAATACAATACGAGGCCAAGTTTTATAAAAGAATGGTTGGAAGCTAAGCATTATGCAATATATAAAAAAATTAAAAAGAAAAAAAAAATTGGAAGCAAAGCGCCAGTTCTTTTATCCAGTATGAATAGTTGTGCAAGTATACATCAATTTTTTTTTAAAAAAAAAGGTTAAGTACCTTTTTCTATCTCTTTATTATTGAAAAAAATCTATTTTGGTTTTTATATTGAAAAAAAAATTTTTTGGTCCTTAAAGTTTAAAATCTGACTCATTTTTAGTTTATCCGTTAAATTTTTGTTGACCTGTCACATTAAGTAACAGAATTGCTTGATTATTATTTTTTATATAAATGGTATTATAAATGACGTAAAAACTACGTGGATAAAATTATAAATCTATGTAAGCATTTTATTTAAATATTTAGGATTATGTATACAAATTAAAAATTTTACTTCTTAATTTGTAAATTAAATGAATTTAAACATAATCAACTTTAATTTCTTCATCTTCTTCTTTTTCCTCATCCTTATCCTTGTCCTCACCCTCATCCTTGGCATCATCATGTCACCATTTATCTTCATCATCCTTTTTGCCATCCTCTTCATCATCTTCACCATCCTCTTCACCATCCTCTTTACCATCCTCTTTGCCATCCTCTTCCTCATCCTAGGTTCCTCACGGAACCTAGCCCAATTTTTGAGTTCCTCATAGAGCCCAAGTTTTGGGTTCATTATGAAACTCAAATTGTGTTTCATACTTGGGTTTGAAACCATAGGTGATAGATTTATGTTATTGTGTTCATGTTGCTATGAACTTCATAACTTATTCATTCATGACCTAAATTCAACAAAAAAAAAAAAAAAAGGTTGAGACTTTGAAATTAGGGAAATAGTAAAGAGAAAGATCTTTTTCGCATAAGAGAAGTTAGGGTTTATTAATGTTGCTATGAACTTCATAACTTAATTCATTCATGACCTAAATTCAAAAAAAAAAAAAAAAAAAGGTTGAGACTTTGAAATTAGGGAAATAGTAAAGAGAAAGATCTTTTTCGCATAAGAGAAGTTAGGGTTTATTAATGAAAATATTCCTATGAATTCTTAATTATATCTTGACCAATCTGACATAGAAAGAGTTGATTATGAACAAAGAATTTCAGAAGAAGGAAAATGATTTATAAATAGGGAACTGAAAAAAAAAAAATGGAGAATTTAGGGTTTTTTTTTTTTTTTCCACATAGGGAGAGTGACACGGAAGGATGTTATTAAGTCCACGTAAGCATTTTTACATGGTAGAATATCCATGTCAAATGTTCTTGTTAAGATAACATACTATATGAGCAAAAATTAATGGGGGACAAAAAATGGGTCGGATTTTAAACTTGAAGGACCAAAAAGCGTCGGCACAAGGACCAAAAAAGGTTTTTTTCAATAGTATAGGGACCAAAAATGATATTTAATCAAAAAAATTTATCTAACATTTACCGTAAAAATTATAAATAAAGAATATAATAAATATATTTTTTATAATTAATTTACTTAATAAATCATAAAAAAGTAATTTTTTTAATACTATTATCATGTTGATATTTTTAATTAATTAAATTAAAGTCAACATTTGTATTTTATATAAATTAATAAACAAAAATATGTAATAAATATACTTTTAATCTATATTCTAAAATAATAAAATAAAAACCAAGAAAAAAAAAGTCAGCGAGACATATTGGTCCAACATGTTATTCACATGAGAGCGTATGAAATTCTACATCAAAGAGATATGAATATGATGTGAAATTGTGAATGCAAATACATTTATAAAGACTCATAGGGCATGTTTGGGAGTTGAAGATCCTGCTAAATATGCTTATAGTCTTTTAGTTTAAAATAATCACAAAAACCATAATTAAACTCAGAGAAGACTTATTGAGTTCAAATTTCTCCGGCTCTAAGTTTAAAATTAAAAATGGGCAATAAATTAAAAAAGGGACAAATATGACATAACTATAATCAATAATTTATTTTTTTGTAAAAAAAAATAATAATTCAATGGCCCATTAAAGGGAAACTCATAACTTTACAGTGCTAACTAAGCTCCTAAATTCGCTCTTAAATAAAAGGTAAGAATAAATTTATTTTTTTTTTAAATGGCTATAAATTATCTCTTTAAATTATTAATAAAGATAAATAACTCAATATTTAATGAATAATATTATCACATATCAGAAATTCATTTGTCATATAAGTATTTTTTAACTAAAATCTAATGGATTATAATGTCATATATTAAATAATAAATGGTTTATTTTGATCAATAATTTAAAAAATAATTTATTTCTACTTTTTTTTTTTAAGGATAAATCTATCCCTATTTTCTAATTGAGGGAGAGATTTGGGGGTTTTGCCCCACATTTGGTCCCCTCCCTATTTAATCATTTCTTGGGACAAAATCTTCAATTATCATACGTACCTTAACAGACATAACACGATTAATCCTGTTTATTACCGACCACAATGTAAGTCTAAACTGACCTACCTCAGTTGGCTTCCACATGACATGAGGCTAAAACCAATTTTGAGCCCTTTACCTTACAAAATTGATAGGGTTTAGCCCATAACCTTATAATATAACATTGTTAACCCTTTATCTTATAAAGTTGATAGGTTTTAACCCCTTGTCTTACAAAGATGGTAGGTTTTAGCCCCTCACCTTATACTATAACACTTTTAGTCCTTTATCTGTATAAATTGAAGAAAATAACTCTCACTTAACTTCATGTTATAATGTTCTGTTAATTCTATTAGTTGACAGTAAATTCTGCTAATTGACTGTTAGTTCTGTTAACTGACTATTAATTTTGTTAACTGACTATTAACATCCGTTAACATTCCGTTAATGGAACTAACAAATAAAATTGAATTTAAATTTAATATTTTCTATAATAAAATGCTAACGGATGTTAATAGTCAATTAATAGAACTAATAGAACGTTGTAACTTGATGTTAGGTGAAAGTTATTTTCTTCAATCCATATAGGTGATGGGCTAAAAATGTCATAATATAAGGTGAGAGGTTAAAATCTACTAACTTTATAAGGTGATGGGCTAAAACCTACCAATTTTGTAACGTAAATGGCTAAAAGTGTCATGTTATAAGTTGAGGGGCTAAAACCTATCAATTTTGTAAAGTAAAAGGCTAAATGTTGGTTTTTGCCCATAACATGGTTAAGAAAATACACAATTTTCTCGGTGAATATAAATTATTACTAAAATTCAATTCCATCCGTTTTTAAATAATATTTATTTTTTTAAAGTATATAAATATCTTTTTATTTTAACCTTATCTTTTTATTTTAATTATTATCCTATTATAAAAAGCTTTCTTTATTTTTTTAAAGATAATATAAGTAAACACTTAAATTATCTTTAAAATTTTAATTAATTTAAAGAAAAAAAATAAAAAAGTGACCATTGTTATTTTGAGATAAAAGGTGTCTAGAACTCTTGGATTTCTTGTTAACATAGTAACATAATAATGAAATTTTAAAAGTATATTTAGTTTAAATAAAGTAGAAAGAGGGGAGCGGAGCCTCCCCTCCCTTCCTATCATTTGGATAAATAAAATAATTACAAGAAAAAATAATATAGATGACTTCTCTTCCTTGCCCTCCCCTCTAAGTGTTTTAACTAAATAAAAGATTTTTTTCTTTTTCTCCCAAATTAAATATATTATAACACTTAAACAAAATAATAATTAAGTAAATCGTGTTTCCAGTCACACTTATACCCCGCTTGACATACAATTCTAAAATATTATGCTTGTGATAACATATTCTACTATTCTAGTTTTCCCTTTTTGTACTGTTTGACTGACCAGATGAACAACAAAAGGTATATTAATTTATGGATTTAATCGGTTAAAAGTAAAATCCACTTTCCTTTCAAATTTATTTACATAATTGTGTTTAGATTAGATGTCAAGCAGTCCTCCCCCACAATTATTGGATAAAACCCTCACCTAACGTATAATTGAAGAGTGGAGAAATTTCACGTGAAACAGGACAAGGTAAGCACAGCCAAATTAAAAGTTTAAAACAAGATGATAAATGGAAGGGATAAAGAAGTTTTCAATCTTTTCCAAAAAAAGGGAAGTTTCAATCTGTAGAAAAGACAAAAGGATAATTATCAAAGGCTTCTTTGCAAATATGGTAGTAGAAGCAAGCAATGGAGAGGTAGGTGGCCACAGATTTCCCCAGTCTCTGTACTGCAAGAGACAGCACAAATGTGCTGTCTCTTATGAGACTTGGCAATGTGAGGACACTGATCCTAGTGGTGTTGCATATGTATTTGTGTCTAATTAGTTAATTGTCTTTCATTCTTGTTTTGTTGTCACTATTCTTTATATAATAGGCACATTTAATGCTAAATTTGTTCCCTAAATTTTGCTTTGATGTTCTTTCTTTTGGATTTCTGGGAAATTTTTTGCACTTTTTTATTCTTTAACTTGATATAATGTGTACTTTTTTTTATATCTAAAAAATTGTTTACATTTTTTAGTCTTTTAACTTAATAATATGTATGTTTTAGTCCTTTCATCAATGAAAGTTCACATAACTTATTAAATCAATTACAAAATTTATTTTATTCAAACTTTCTAAAAAGGATTTGCTATCATCGAGATCCCATTGCAAGAAAAACACATGGAGAAATGAGAGTCAAACTTTCTAAAAAGGATTTGCTATCATCGAGATCCCATTGCAAGAAAAACACATGGAGAAATGAGAGGAGGAGAAAGGGAAAGGGAAGGAAGATCAAAAGTTTTTTTTTATCTAACTAGGCAATTTTATACACGTGGAAGATAAGAGTTCAACTAAACAGTACATAACATTAATACTCTGTTTGGGAACTTGAATTTGACAGTGTGTATTTGAATTTAAAGTGCTCAAATTCAATTTTACTGTTTGTTTTTACCTAAATAAAATGTAATTGAATTTGGATGAAATACATGTATTTTAACAAAGTAATTCACAAGAGTAAATACCGTGCATTTCAATTTCACCATAAAACCCTCGAATTTCAATTTTGAATTGAATTTGGTCTGCACTCTCTTCTCACCGACAGCGATGAGCCTTCACCGTCCGCCCTAACTCTGCCGCTGCTCTCTCACCTTCGTGTCGTCGGCCACTCAACCTCTCCTTGATAGTAGGTTCTCGATCGCGGGCTGACTTTTCATCATCTCTCTCGATAGATCAACGCCTCAACGCCTCAACGCGAGAAAACCCAGCATCCTTAGCAACTCAGATCCACTGCGAGGCATCCAATAGGGTGGGGTTGAAGACAGAGGGATCAGCATGGCCAGAGCCCCATTCTGAATCGGTGAAGGTGTTGGGTCCGAAGTGGAAGAAAATAGCCATGGGGGGGAGTTGCCATTGAAGCTGGGAAGCAGAGGGGATGGGGAGAATGTGAAGAGGAGGTGGCTTCCGAGGAGCAAAAAGGGAAAGCAGTGGAAAAGACAGAAGCAAGAGGATCAGAATCAGGAATGTCATGATGAAGTGAAGTAGGAAAAAGAGTGTAACTTGTGTTAATTAGTTTGGAGGATCCTTTTGATACAGAGAATCAATGTTGGCCTCCTGAATTGCTTCAGACAAGGACTGTTCTGTTCTTCCAAGTCTTCCCCTTCAGGAGGAGGGGAAACAGATGGAAGCGGAGAACAAAACAAAAAGAAAAGAAAGAGAATGGTGGTTGTTATGTTGTGTCGTTGATTAGTTTAGGACCTTTAGGTAATGATAATCCAGATGGAATGGGGGGTGGGGGGGTGTAGGTGAGCTGCAATTTATGGATTTTGATTCAAAATATACATACAAAATGGAAGATGATGGACGTGTTATTTGATTCAAAATATTTCATAATATATTTATTAAAAAATTATTATTTTTAAATTTAAATTTAAGATAAAAATTTATGAGTAAACTTTAATGGCTGAATTAATACATATTAATATATGTATTAAATTGAAAGTTATTTCAATTATTACTTATGCAAAATATGAAGTAAAAGAAAAATCTAAAAGAATACCAAGACACAAGGAATATAGAATGGCAGACACACAAGTGGAGGAGGAAAAAGACACAAAAGAGTTGGAGGAAAAAGAAACTCAAGGGGAGGAGGAAAAAGACACACAAGGGGATTGAGGTAGGAGTTTGGACCATTTTTCATACCA